GACTGAGCGACTTCACTTTCACTTTTCACTTTCATGCATTGGAGAAGGAAATGGCAACCCACTCCAGTGTTCTTGCCTGGAGACTCCCAGGGACGGGGGAACTCGGTGGGCTGCCGTCTATGGGGTCGCACAGAGTCAGACACAACTGAAGCGACTTAGCAGCAGCAGCAGTAGCAGCATAGGATTGAGGTCAGAAGGGATGAGAAAGGGAAAAAAGATTTTTTAAAAAATGTTCTACCGCTGTTAAGATTTATGTCTGCTTTATCTTTACTTATTTATTTATTTTTAAATTTTTTGGCCACACTGCTCAGCACGTGGGATCTTAGTTCCTCAACCAGGGATTGAACCTTCCCCCTATGCAGTGGAAGTGCAGAGTGTTCGACTGCCAGGGACTCCCCGGGGAAAAAAAAGATTTTAATAGGTTAATCATAAAGTCAGTAGGGGAATTCAGTTTTAGGGGGACTAAACATGTAAACACTAACTTACTAACATGTAAACACTGATACTAGTTTTTTTGTGTGTGTGTCCTTTCAGAGAATTTTTTTAGCTCATGTTCATTGGAAGGATGATTGGGAAAAAAATGTTTAATGAGGCTCATTAGGAGGGTGATAATGAACAGAAATGTCAAGATGCTGATCAAAGAGAATGTGTGCAACACTGATGATTTGCTGGTGTTTCTGAGGAGAGGAGAGTGGGGGTCAGAATAAAAACCTGGCTTCCATGCACCACTGTCGTGGGCTATCATGGCCAGCTTGTACTCATATGACTTTGTCATTTTAACTGTCAGGTGAGGGGCAGAAGAAAGTTAGTCTCCTCCCACGTTCCCCACTCTCTCCCTCCCTCCCCTGAACTGGACTCAGCTTGTGGAACTTGAGGGCTAGCTGCTTCTCAGATACCCAGAATCCCAGCAGCACAGGATGCCAGATCTAGAGGGCCCTGCCTTCCTGTCCTTTTTATTTTTCACATGACATACCAGAACCAAGGCCACCTGTTCGGTCATGGAGTAAAACTGACTCTCTGGACATGTGTTCCTTCTGCTTCCCCAAAGGATCAGTGATTGCAAAGGCACAGCTGGTGATAGGATATGACTTTAAAGACAAGTGCCTGTTCTGTGAAGTCTGTTTCTTACTAGCCATTGACTAGAGTGAAATGTGAGTTGATGCTGGGAATGATGTGATACCCTGCGTGGCTGCAGAGGGAGAGCAGGAGAGGGTTTTTCTGGTGGACAAGTGGAGGGAGGGAGTTGGTTTGACTCATCAGAATTCTTTCCAAGTCTCTGCCACCATTTTTGTGGTCTTGGTCAAGATCATGGAACTATTCTGGGCCTCTTTTTTTTTTTTCTTTATAAATCTGTAAATTAGATGCATCAAATTAAGGTTACTTTCTTTTTTTTAAATTTTTTTTTCCATTTATTTTTATTAGTTGGAGGCTAATTACTTTACACTATTGTAGTGGTTTTTGTCATACATTGACATGAATCAGCCATGGATTTACATGTATTCCCCATCCCGATCCCCCCTCCCACCTCCCTCTCCACCCGATTCCTCTGGGTCTTCCCAGTGCACCAGGCCTGAGCACTTGTCTCATGCATCCAGCCTGGGCTAAGGTTACTTTCAAATCTAGTAAGCTACTGGAGTCAGTACTTGACAAGTTGAGACATGTTTGAGGATTTCTTTATTTAGTAATTAGACCTTAGTGTTGGATCATTACAATTGTAAAGAATTAAGTGGCAACATTGGTGGTTTTGTACAGAGTAGGACCATATCCCAGGCATTCTTCTGGTACTGAGAATGATATTTTATTCTTTCCTTCACTGGGATATCTTTTTCACCAACACCTGGAATTCTTCGAAACTAACTTCTCCATCTCCATTCTTGTCTAGTTCTTCAAAAAGCTCATCAAGGGTGCTTGGACCCTGGTTTTAGACAAAAAGGAGGGAATAGAAGAGGGGGAGAAACAAATCAGTTACTGCTGCACATTAAATTAGAGACACTGCGTGGATGTTCCAAGAAGGCAACTGTCACATGTTACAGTTACTGTTACATGTTACAGTCACATGTTACTGACTGTGAGAGATGAAGAAAAAACAACTTTAGTTGTAGCATTGCTTCATTTCACAGAGCTGGCTACCCACCCCCCTATTAAAAACAACAACCAACTATATCACATTTATTATTTTGAAATTAATAATATATATTTAAAAATATTTGGTTTCCTTTGTAATCTAAATCATTCTTTTGAGAAGTCCCAGGGCTTCACTTGGCTGCCGAGGGGCCCTGCTCTAAGGTTTCCCTGAGAGCTGGTTTGGCATCCAGCTCCAGGGCTGAGCCAGCATATGACCAGGGGCTTGCTGTGGGCCAGCTCTGTGACAAAGCTTCCTTAGCTGTGTAATTCTCCCAGCTGCCTTGTGGGGGAGATCCACTTTACAGATGAGAAAACAGGCTTTGAGACGGCTACTGACTTGCCCAGGGCTCCCAGCTGTTAAAAGGGGATTGGGGTTCAAACACTGACTCTAGAGCTCAACCTCTTGATTAGCAAGCATCCCATTTTTCTCCCCAAATCGTGTGTTGCAGCCCACTTCTACGCAAGGTGACTTTGGCTCAGTGGTTCTTAAACCAGGTAGGTAGGCTTGTTGACTGTAATAAACCCAAGTTGATTGGTGGTCTTACCCAGAGCTTCCAGTTCACTAGGCTTGGAGTCAGATCTGAGAATCTATATTTCCAACAAGTTCCTGGGCAGTGCTGATGCTGAGAACCAACCACTCAGAGAACCACTGCTTGTTATCAGAACATCAGATCATGTTCAGCCCGACTCCCTTTTGACTACTGGTATTGCTGTAGTGACTTAAGCAGACTTAATTTTGTCCCTGCTGTAGGGGTGGAAAAATTTCCCTCCTTTCCTTCTGGGTTCTTTGGCTGGTCTATTAATTAAATAGACACAGACAGATTAACAGGAGAAAAACAAGTTTAATTATATACGTATGGGGTGCCCCATAAAAATTTGAGACCCAAAGGGCAACCAGGTAACTGAGGCTTATATAACATCCTGAGCTAAGGATACAGAGGGAAGGAAGGCCATTCGTAGGAAGGTAGAGATGTTTGGAAAACAAAAGTTTAGCCTGTTATACAGATACATTTCTAAGGAAAAAAGGAATCTATAGCAAGAACTCTCTTCCTGGGACAGGCTTCCCTTTCCAATGTAAATTTAGGCAGTTGAGTGGGAGGTAAAGAGCTTTCCTTGAATCTTCCGGGTTTTGATTCCTGTTAGTTCAAAATAATCTCCATGCTTAAGTGATATATTTTGGGGAGACTTGTTCTGAACCCCTTCACTACCATAAAACTCAAATCATAAAACCATTACCACTCTGAATTTAAGGTAAGGAGTCTCTTTGGCAAAATGGCATCCAGGAAACCTATTGAAATAGCAGTTTAGTTTGTAAGTCAGCTTCAAAAATTTTTTTTGAATTCTTGTAGAAAACACATAAGATAACATTCCCCATCTTAACTATTTTTAAGTATACAGTTCAGTAATGTTAAGTATATTCACATTGTTGTGCAGCCAATCTCTACATCAAGGTATGTTTTAACCCCTAAGATTCCTACAAAGACATTTGACACTTAGCTATGCTCACAAGACCGAACTTATAAGTTAGCTATTCAACATCTGTTTTACAAAAAGTCTGTATGGAAATACAGTCAGTACATGACTTCATATGTAGATTTTTCACAACTTACCACTAGTCTTTCTGCCTTTATCCAAATTAGAAAAGTCATATGTGCTTTTTATAGGAAATACATAAAATATAGAAAAATACAGAAAAGTTCACCAATCTTACCTTTAAAAACAACTTGACTAGATTGCCTAGGCTTTCCTGTCAGATTATTATTTTTCTTCTTTTTCTTATTTTTTAAAATTATTCCTATTATTTTTTTTCTTCCTTTTGGAAAAATTTAAGAGTTTTTTGAAGAGTTAAATCTTTCTCAGAAACGTTTGTTTTTAATTAGAAACTCTTTTTCTGCTAGTGCCTTTAACTTTTAAAAAGTTATTTCACGTTTTAACTGTAAGAAAATTGATTATAAGGTCATCAAATTCAGCTACTTCGCTTTTTAGTACTAAAAACAGAAACCTCAACAACTAAAACTAGAAACCTCACATGTCATATTGGCAAAAGGGACATTTCTGGTTAAAATACGAGAACCAGATCCTGAAGTTAGAGCTAAATAGGGATCAAGTCAAATGTAACAGTTAGTTGCACAGTTGCTTCCATTTTGAAGATGAGTTTTAGTTCCAAGGGAAAGAAAGGGTATAGGAGCAAGGAGAATCAGTTTTTCCCTGTTTCTTATTGCCTGTAGATGCGTTTTGATTTTGACAACTCTGGGATGGTTTTGATGAGAAACTTTATGGCTGGGGAAATGTAATCCTTTCCTGAAAGTTTAGAAATGTATTGTTGCTCATTAACACAAACTTAGGTGCTTAACACAAACTAACACAAATGTAAATGCTTTTGAAATAGAAATGGGTGTTGCAGGAGGGCAATTTATTAGCATGAAGCCGGTTTCCTTAACAGATTGCCAAGTAAGTGTTGGTCTAGTTGAGAGATCCTACCTATAACAGAGAAGCACATCCAAGTCCATCTTCTATAATTGTACAGGTCTCTTTGTTTTCCTAAAGCTTGACACAGAGGTGCCGAACCCAGACTGAAGGACTTAGTATGTTTGCTTGGCAACCTGGGGGTCTTCCAAACCTATCTTAGTAAAAGTACAATTGTGGCTTTGTTTACTATGACTGGGCACCTCGGGAATTGTGTGTCAAGGCTGGGGGCAATAGACGGCCAAGCCCGTTCTTTCTAGGAGCTTGCCATCTGAAATGTAGCCTGCCCCGTAGGAGGAAGGCACGCATTCAAGTGTCCTCTCTCAGGCGATGCCCACACCTTGGCTGCTGGCTGCTCTGCTCCACATGGAGCTCTGATCAGTGGCATCGAGGACCTTAGCCTCTCCCTGAGTCCTCTCTTCTCCCCGCCCTTCCCACCATCCCTGCCCCGTCAGCGGACACTGTGATGCTGCACTCACCTTCAGTAAACTGGGGAATTCCGTCTGAATCAATAGCTTCAGCTCCTCCTTGGACAGTTGGTTTGGATCACCTTCTTTGGCTGCATATTTTTCGAAAATGCTCTTCAGTTCTTCCGGAGACTTTTTGGCACTCATTTTGGTGTCCTGTAAATTGGGAAAACAATGAACTTATCAGAAAGCTGGAGTATTTTATACTGATGATAGCCAGCAGGAGTTGAGGGCTTTTGGGCAAGGTGAGAGAGAATAAACAAAAGGGGAGGGGAGGAGATAAAAAGGAGGAGGAGGGTGGGAGCTGTGGAAATGGCAATGTACCAGTGATTGCTAATGTGTTTTTAAAATAATCATCTTAGATAGTATGTGAAATGTCTGTTCTTAAGAGTACATCTTTTAGAAGATAGGCTTTGAAGTCAAATACTTTTACTAGTAATTATGACATTCTTCACTTGTACCTGATCTGCACACCGTAGGCTGTGTTCTTAAAGAAACCTGACCACAGCTTCTAGCCTCTTAAGTTACTGGTAATATCTTTAGATGGCACAAATCCACTTTTTCTCTAGACCATGATCTTTCACACCATTCTGAAAGGAAGCAGAAGGAACTACAGGTAGTACCAGAAGCACTCTTACCTGGCCGTTCAGCAGTCAGGCAGCTAGGAGAGCCAAATGGAAGTGTGAGGAGCTGAGCCGGGTCCTGTGACTTTTATAGTCTTAACAGGCACACCACCCTGATTGTGAAATTTTCCTTTTGTTTACCATTTAAGGGTAATTATTAATGGTCTTTGAAACCCAGTCTTAAAACTGCATGAACTTCATAATTAAGGGCAAGATCCAATAAAGGGCCACCTTGATAGTTACTTAATGGTTCAGAGTCCCAAGAGTACGCTTGGATTCTTTACTCCTTAGATTATATTTTCTCTCCAAAGTGGAATTAGGATATTTTCTCACTGTTCGTATTTCAGAAAGCTCAAATATGGAGGGTTGTTTTTTTTTAATTTAGTTTCCTATTTATTTATTTTCCTATTTATTTTTGAAAAAACAATTTTCAAAATAATTATTCCTATAAATTATTTTCCTATTTATTTTTGAAAAAAATAATTTTCTGTACATTAAGAAAAAATGCTGAAATGAAAGATCAAATACGAAATAGTTTGAAAAATTTCTTTATAGCCTTTAAAGTCCCTTTGTATTTATTTTTTACAAAGTTTATTCTAAAATGTATAATGGTTTCCAAGACAATACTTTATTCTAGTTATAGATGGCAACAGATGTTATGGCAAGGAATTCACATGTTTACGCAGAAATGGAACTAAGGGTCATCATTGCCTCAGGTGCAAGAGACAGTTTACTTTTTTCCGGATTTCTTAATTCTACCCATGACCAGGGGGCCTTTCCCCGATGCCTTAGCTTTTAGCTCTTATTTTTAGTTTCTTCTACTCCACCTTCTGTTTTTGCTTGAATGCCTTATCTCGCCCATCTCCTTGGCTTGCTTCTTGGGCTGCTTCAAGGGCTTCTTGCCTCCTTCAGGGCCCCGACATGGCACCTGCCGCCCCTTCCCCAGACCCTGTCACCCGAAGCGGCTTAAATTTTTGAATAATAATGAGTAAAGTATCATCAAGAAGCAGGTTTAAGAAGTGGTTGGGGGGGAAGATACACAATAATTTGTGGTTTCATTTGGCAAAGCAGTATTGCCGAGTAGCATGGTCTTTTTTTCAACTTTTTCATTATTTATTGTTCCCATATGTGCTTTTTATTTCTTCATTGCTTTTCCTTGCCAAATCTATTTTGTTAATCATTCTAAAAACTTGTGAAAACAGTTGACTTACTTTTATTCAATTGGAATTACTTAAAACTTTTGGAACTGCCAAATTTAAATTTGGTAACTTAATTTTATTTCTCTTGGAAAGAGTTTCATGAAAGAATTAGGACATTTCCCAGGAACATTATTCCAATACTGATCGTAACTCACAAGAAGGGGTTCCAGATCAACTTTAAAAGCACTTACAAGCATTTAAATACTTGTATACATCCATACTTTTATGGACCTTTTCTATTTTTTATTTATTTTTCTCTGACCCTTTGTTAATTATGTACAGATTCAAGATTGAAATATTGCACTATACTTCTCTGTATGCTTTTCAGTTCTAAAATTCTAAGGCCTTATTTACCTTGAAGAACAAATGTGAAATCTTATGTATAGAGATTCTTGAAAGCTTCCACCAATCCTGAGACTTGATCATTCCATGCATTTTAGCTGTCTTGTGTATGTTATTCTAGCCTTTATTACAGATTATTTGACTATGGTATGCATCAGTGGGGTCCCCTGTGGCTCAGATGGTAAAGCATCTGCCTGCAATGCAGGAGACGTGGGTTTGATGCCTGGGTTGGGAGGATCCCCTGGAGAAGGGCATGGCAACCTACTCCAGTATTCTTGCCTGGAGAATTCCATGGATAGGAGAGCCTGGCAGACTACAGACATGGGGTTGCAAAGAGTTGGACATGGCTGAGTGACTGAGACACTTCCATGCATAATACTGACTGTGTGCTAACTCACTTCGTAAAGACAGGCATTTTGCTTTTACTTGTAAAATATAAAAAAATAGTGTTCTGATTTTGGTAATGTATTTTAATCAAGATTTTAGAGAATTTCTCAGGTTTTTATAGTTATGCTCTGTTTTACCTGGGAGGAAGGAGGCTTTTGTTGAATGATTATGAGAAGAAATATGTTTTTCATATAACACATTTTTTTTTAAAAAAAATTCAAATCTACAGAAAATTTTTAAGAAAAGTCAATGAATACCAACCCAACTTTTGCTCAGATTTACTAATTGCTAACATTTCCACATTTGCTTTCTTTTTCTATGGACAACCCTTCCCACCTCAACCATTTTAGAATCAGTTACAGATATCCAGACATCCACTAGATACCTCAGCATCTTGTTTACTAAGGGCAAGGCCATCCTCCTGCACAACCACAGTGCCATTCATTATCACAGCCTGTATTCACATCTTGTCAATTGTTGATATAGCATCTTAAATCATCTGTTCTCTCAAATTAGCACTTGTGAGCTAAAATCAACATGGTAATTGTTTTATTTCTTGAGTCTATATTGAAGAAATGATTTTTAAAAATATTTACTTCGTTCCCCTTGTGGCATGCGGGATCTTTTCCTTGTGGCACATGGGATCTGTTTCCCTGACCAGGGATTGAACCTGGGCCCTCTGCATTGGGAACACAGAGTCTTAGCCCCTGGACCACCAGGGACATCCCAAAGAAATGATTTTAATAATTATATATGATCTTAATAACAGTATATCTATATGATTTTAACAAGTATATATTGTATGACATAATATATATTATCTATAACACATGCCATATTGTATATATTACACATGTGTGAGCGTGTGTATATATAAAACTAACTCTTAAGAAAAACATTTGAAACAGTATTGGTTAACAATCTTTTAGGCTTCATATCTCTAGTTTCAAGGGAGGACCTCTGATTAAAATAGGCCCAGTGCTGCTTGTTGTCAGAAGTTAGGCTTGTGGTAAACGCTGATGGAGGGTTTGGCTTCCCTGGTGGCTCAGTGGTAAAGAATCCTCCTGCCAATGCAGGAGATGTGGGTTTGATCCCTGGGTTGAGAAGATTCCTTAGAGAAGGAAATGGCAACCCACTCCAGTGTTCTTGCTTGGAAAATCCCATGGACAGAGGAGCCTGGGGGGCTGTAGTCCATAGGGTCGCAAAAGAGTCAGACACGACTTAGCGACTAAACAGCAAATGCTAACAGAACTGGAAAAACACCCCATTGATCCTCTTGTATTGTTACTTGCTCACCTCTGCCAGTGACCTCTCTTGTCTCTTATTTTTCTCTTCACCTGTAGACTCAAGCTTGGGGGTGAACCTGAAGTGGGAAACATGAAATCCACCAATAAATATTCTTATGAAACATTAACTAATAATGTATGGAGATGGGCGATAAATATAGGGTGTGTTCAAAAGAGTGCATTTTGAAACCAGAGAAAGCGGAAAAAATGACAGGCACAAGATGGGTAATGGAAAAATGGAGAGGCAAAGGTTATTTCACCTGACTGTTCAATTGCTTGATCTTTGGACAGACTTCAGTTTTTCCTAGGAAAGCCGAGAGTAACTTATTTTACAAGCTCGGGCTACTACAGGCTTTGGTGGCCGGGTTACTCTACTCAAAGACCACAATAGCAGTGCCTCAGAGAGCACCTCTGGGCTCCCCGTAGCAAAATGGGTGTGAGGTGCTGTCTCTGGGTTCATATTGTCTTTGATGCTGAGGTTTGGAAGAGATCCTGACTTCCAGAGCACTGTTGTCCCTAAAAGGGACACGTCCATGATGGAGTTCACCTTCCACTTCCAGCCTCTGCCCTGGGTTCCTCCTAACCCATGACTATTGAAGGCTGCCTTTTTTTTTTTTAATTGGGCTTCCCTGGTGGCTCAGCTGGTAAAGAACCTGGCTGCAGTGCAGGAGACCTGGGTTCAATCCCTGGGTTGGGAAGATTCCCTGGAAAAGGAAACAGCTTACCCAATCCAGTATTCTGGCCTAGAGAATTCCATGAACTGTATAGTCCATGGGGTTGCAAAGAGTTGGACACAGCTGAGTGACTTTCTTTCTTTTTTTTAATTAAAAAATTATTTACTTAGTTTATTTTTTGTTCTACTGAGTATTTATTGCTGCATGGGCTTTTCTGTAACTGCGATGAGTAGGGGGCTGTTCTCTAGTTGTGGTGCTCAAACATGTCATTGCAGTGGCTTTTCTTGTTGTTGAGCACGGGCTCTAGGCTAGTGGGCTTCAGTAGTTGTGGTTCTAGAGCGCAGGCTCAGCAGTTGTATCCATGGGCTTAGTTGCTCCACTAAGCCCATGGCATGTAGGATCTTCCTGGACCAGGGATTGAACCCGTGTCTCATGCATTGACAGGTGGATTCTTTACCACTGAGCCACCAGGGAAGCTGCCTCCACACATGACCTGTTAGCTCCAGAAGTCCTACAGCATCCCTGCGAAGTGGATGCTCGTGTATGGAGATGGGCAAGGACCCAGTCAAGGTCGCATCACTGGGAACTGGCAGAGCTGGGATTTAAGTCCAAGGCCAGGCTGCACTCTCAGCCACCATGCCACCTGCCCAGTCTCAGGAGTAGGCTTCTGTGAGGAAAGCTGGTCAACAGTGTTAGTGTGAGGCTCAGAGGTAGGACTTAGACTTGTGTCATAATCACACCTGAAAGTATGAGTCTTCTTTTCCTGGTGTAAATAACAGACCTTCTTTACTGATGGAAAAAAACAGATTTCAAAAGCTGGAAAATATGTACATGTTTCTAAGACTGCTCGATACTTTCTTCATTATAGATTCCGTCCTCACAGTGCCCTGAGGCTGCAGGAAAGTGCTGGCCCTGTATCACGTGTATCAGGTGGGAGTTGGGCTTGGGCCCAGTGTGCCTCAGGCTCAGAACAGCCCACTGCCCCTCCCCTTCTGTCTGCAACTTGATCTCAGAGACTCTCTACTCCATGTAGGCTCACTGACCAGTCCCTGGGCCTCCTCTGTTAATTTTTAATTAAAATTCAGGGAGATTTAATGATGGAGTGCTTGATCCGAACCTGACACTGTGCTGAACTCTGGTGGAGCTAAAAAAAGATCTAGTCCTTGTGTGTGAGAAGGCCATACTTTAGTTTCTGAGAGGAGATGCATATATGAAATGATTGAAGAGGTTAAAGTTGTATACAGTAAAGGACTATATTAGATTCCTGTCACTGCTGTAACAGATTACCACCAATGTAGTGACAACTTTACTTTTTTTACAGGTCTGGAGCTCAGAAGTGGGTTGGTAGAGTTGCATTTCTTCTGGTGGCTCTAGGAGAAAATCTATTTCTTTGCCTTTTCCAGTTTCTAGAGACTGCCTGCTCATGGCCCTTTCCTCCATTTTTAAAGCCAACCATGTGGCCTCTTCCAACCTCCCTCTTTCCCTTTCACTCTGACCTCTGTTTTATTGTTACATCTCCATCTCTGATTCTGACCCTCCTGCTTCCTCTTATGAAGACCTTGTGGTTACATTGGGCCTACCCAGATAACCCCAGGTAATCGTCCCATCTCAGAAGCCTTAATTAATCAGGCTTGCAAAATCCCTTTTGACATGGAAGGCAACATATTCATAGTTTCTGGGGACTAGGACTTGGACATCTTTGGGAAGCCATTATTCAGCCTACCGCTTACTTGAAATGAATTAGCAATGTGTAGGTCATTTCTTTGATAGGGTGAGCATAACATTGGTATTAAGTATGGTGTGATAAGGAGAACTGGAAGGTGCCCCTAAAGCATGAGCCCATGTGGGATGGTGGGGAGCAGCCATCTCAGGGGAAGTAGTGAAGAGGCAATATGTATGTAGTAGAGTTGTAGGGACAGAAGCAGAGGTGCCATTGGCCATGGACTTGTCCAAGCTGAGGTAGAAACCATAAGTTAGAATATGTAGGAAGAGCATAGATGGTTCCTGAATGAGGTGGAACTTGAGTGTCACATGGGAGGCTTTATATTTGATCTGCAATGATGGAGGCTGTTATAGCTGGCTAGCTACTGGAGACGATCTGCTGGGAGATAGCCTCCCCGAGTGTCCTCAGATGAAATGTCCAGAGGCCAGGGACATGGGAGAAGCTGGGCTTACCAGGGCTCTGTCAGGTAGGTCAGAAGGCTTGCATTCTTTCTCACACTGCCATTTAAAAATTCCATCTTTGGGAATTCCTTGGCGGTCCAGTGATTAGGACTCTGTGCTTTCACTGCTGAGGGCCTGGGTTCAATCCCTGGTTGGGGAACTAAGATCCACAAGCCACGCAGTGTGGCCAAAAAAAAAAAAGGAATTTCATTTTTGATAAGGGAGTCTAACTTCCCTAGACTTTCTTGTGTAAGGCACTCAGGACTCCCGAAGTCTTAAACACATTACACTTTTATCATAGGCTACAGAAACTTTGGTAAAAGTTAATTAGGGCCATGTTTATCCTTACATGACACTTTTACATTTCCTAAAGCTTTATCACCGCCAATATTCGTTACTTATTGATCTTTTTTTATTTTTCTTCTGGTCTGTGGCTCCGTTCCAAGAAAGGATGGATCTATAGTGGGGATCATGTGACAGCTTGTATTTAGGCAAGCTCAGAATGGGCAAAGGCGACCCTTTTTGCAACGGTAGAAGCCTTTTCCTCTTAGATGCAAAATCTAGGGTATTTTGGAAATGTTGGGGATTAAACTAAAGGATTTCTGAGATTCTTTTCTTTAACCACCCTAGTAATGATAAAAGATATGTTCTCCTATTTCTTCAGGCTTTTTGTGGAAGGAATGCCAGGAACAAAGATGGTTTCCTTAATTTTGTTGCTGAATCCGGTCACCTGTAACCTGAGAGGCAGTCTTATTGTCATCTTTAGATCTGGTAGGACAGCCTGACAACTTTGCAAGGCAGATGGCTGGGCCCGGTGTGGCCAGGAATGCCCTGTGTCTCTGCCTTCCCTGGCTGTTCCCTTCTGGTGTGTTTGTGTCCCCCAGCTGGTGCCTGGCCTGGATGCTCTTCTAGTGAGTGTATGATGGGCATCCACTGGATGAGGCCTCCTGTCGGTTCTCGCTCTGCTTTTCTTCTTTCAATGCTGTTCAGGGCATCATTCAGAGTTGGAAAACTACTTCCATCCGCTCCCCCATCTTTTCTATAACATTTTCTTGGCCTCTCCAGTGGTTTCTATGGTAGCACATTTTAATTGGAGGGTCACCATGGCAGTTACACCTTGGGATTTCTTTCTGTGCTATCATTTTAGGAGAAGGTCTTACTTATTGCTATGAAAACAGTGGGGATAATGTGAACAAATACCCTAGTGGAAGGCCTACATGATATATTGTGAAATTGGGCCTTCACATTTGGGCCTTCAATTTGTATTTTCGTTAAAGTAATGCTGTGTTCAAAGTTGAAAGAGCCAACAATTGCAAAAAGTCTATAATGAAAAAATTCAGTAATCCGCACCTTCTCTTTACCACCCTCAACTCTTATAGCTGTTTCTCTTGATATTTACCTTCATGTATCTAAGTAATATTCTTATATTGCTCTTTCAGGAATTTCCAGACTTCCCCCTATGTTGGAGGAATATTTAAGACCCTTAGGCAGCCCTGTGCCCACTGCATTTAGCTTTTGGAAATATCTCTTTTGGAAGTGTTTTCTGGCCTTGTGTTTGTCAGATTCATCCCAAGTAAGTAAGCAGTAAGGCAGGATTCCTGTTCTTAGTTGGGTCATTTGACACCATTCTCAGTGATTTATATCAGAACAGTCCTTGAATTCCAAACATGCTAATAACTGAAAAAAACACTCTTCCTGAGTGGAAAAACCCAGTACAGTAAGTAAGGGTGACTTGAAGCATCACATTACACTTACAAGAAGAAACCAGGGGAGTTTATTGCTGTAGTCTTTCTAAAGGATTCAGATTGTCTTCAACTGAAGTGGAAATTGAAGCTGTGAATCAGTCTAGGACTTCTTATGAGTCTGTGGCAGGTACTATAGTCTTATCTGCTCTTTTGTAGAAAATACCCAAAGGGCTGGGCACTTATTAGCAGCGCAGCTTTCTGAACTGGAAGCTAATGCCCTCTCTCACCTCACTCCCATAATACTTAATCTAGCTGTAATTAGCTGACCCAGGAAGATAGGAAAGACATGCCAAGGCCAAGAGCACTTCAGAACTGAGCGCTTCATCTGCCAAGGCATGTAGTCAAGTTTTCTTCTCCACCCCTTCCCCTCAATGACTCTTACAGTATACTGGGGCCACAGGGTTCAGGTGGTTCAGAAAGTCCTGGGGCATTGATAAGATCAGACAAGTTCTTGGAAAATTCCAGTTGTCAAGGTTTCCTGTAGAGCACTAGGTGGTAGTTAAGGTATAGAAAAAAACAAGGACAGAAAGGTTTTATGAGAGGAAACTTGAGCAATTCCATTAGAACAGGTTAAATCACCCAACTATAGTCTTTTTTAACAACTTTTAAAAGGTGAAGTAAAACCATGAGATTGTAGTGAACAGAACTGAGAAAATAGACCGATGATGAACAAGAACAGGCTTTTCATAAAAATCACGTGTTTCTGCGTTTCTGTGAATTAATCCTGAAGACAAATCTGAAATCTGAAGTTCTGAGTTCATGCAGTCCTCCATGCATCCATCCAGCGCACACCAGCTGCAGCTCCGTGTGTGCTGGGGGCTGGGAATGCAACGGGAAAAGCGAAAAGCAGCCCAGCTCCTGGAGATTCAGTCTGGCACACAAAGCAATGTTCACACAAACTGAAGGGGACACAGTGACAGGGAACATGTTGCTAGAGGACCCCAACTAGGCTGTGATGCCTGGGAGGATCAGTTCCCAGGAAGCTCAGATTGGACAGTTGAACTAAGATCTTAAAGTTAAGGATGGATTAATTTAGGAAAAGAGAGTAGGGGAGTGAGAGATGGTCAGAGTCCTCCTGGTGGCAGGAAAGAAGATGCACTTGAACTGAAGGAGGGCTCGGTGACTGGCTTGGGGTGGGAGGGTAAAGTCATGGGAAATGAGGCCGGAGGGCTCGGTGACTGGCTTGGGGTGGGAGGGTAAAGTCATGGGAAATGAGGCCGAAGGGCTCGGCTGAGCCAATACCACGTAGTCAAGGATTTTAAGCAGGAGAAATACCATGACCACTCTGCCTGCAGTGTGCAGGGTAGTGGGGGGTGTGTAAATGTGGGGTGTGGCTAGTTGGTGAGCTTTGTCCTCAGCCTGGGTGAAAGGCTATGGTAATGGGTGTAGTAGGAACTGTGTGAATGGATGCAGGAAGTCTGGAGTGGCTAAGTGGATACAACTCGACACGTTGGATGTGAGGGATGAAGGAGAGGGAGATCCAGGGTGATGCTTAGGTTTCTGAGCTATGGGATATGCTAGAATAGATGATATATATTTTTAATAAAAAGAATCGTTCTAGAGGACTTTCATGGAAGTCTAGTGGTTAAACACTCTGTGCTTCCACTGGAGGAGACACGGGTTTGATTCTTGGTCAGGGAACTAAGATCCTGCATGCTGCAGCACGGGCCAAGAAAAAGGAATCCTTCTAAAGATTTTCTGCAGATAAGTACAGTCAGCCCTCCATGTCCATGGGTTCGGCATCTGCAGATACCAATAGCTGACTGTATTAATGCCATTTGCTTTTAGAAAATCTTTAGGAAACAGAGTGGGCGGCAGGAGAGGGTTATTATTATGAGGGACATGAAGACCAACGTGGAAGGTCCCAGAAGGCCAGAACTTGAAGTGTGAACATTGACCAAAACTGAGTTTGAATAATGACAGGAGGGAGGTCATGAAGACGCTCCCAATAAATTTTGTACCTGTGATTTGAATGAAAGATGAGAAGCAGAGACGAAAAGGCAGCATACTGTGAGGAGTGTATAAAAGCATAACCGTGTTTGAATAGGAAAACTGGAAGGAATGATCGAATTTTATATTTTAGGGAACATCCTTACTCGGTGAGCATCCCCTAAAAGTAAAGCTTGAAATTTGGAAAATAATGTTTTTGCAAGATCCAAAACTGGGCTTGTTTTGTTTCCTAAGGTGATTGATATGCCGGAGCACAACCCTGGCAATTTGGGAGGAACGATGAGGCTGGGAATAAGAAGAACTGTTTTCAAAACTGAAAATTCAATATTAAGTAAGTTTCTCAGATTATTTGTTTTCTAGCTCTGCAGGCATCATTTGCAGGCCTTGCCAGGCCACAGCCCTCCTGGAGCTCTTCCATTCCACCCCCTCACCCCTTCCCTGCCTCTGCCCTCCCTGCCTCTCCTGCATCCCCGTTCCTCTCCCTGGAAGGGTTGGTAGAACACGCGTGCCTGCCCCTTCTCATTTCTTCTCCACCAGTGGGCTCATTTCTTGGCCAGTGGGCTGCTTTGTGTTTTACCCATGCTCCTGGAGATGACCCTGCACTGGGGCAGTCCTGATTCCAGCTCAATTCTTGTGAAGCCACTGTTCTCTCCACTACTTGGAAACTGGCTCCCTGTTTAACTGTTTCATGTCTGACTGCTTTGAGCCACTAAATTTCCGAACTTCTTGGGAAGGGGCAGTTATGTATCAGAAGTCTATTTCTCTGTTCCCTGAGTAGCTCCAGCATGGGACAAGGAAAATATGATGTGCCTTAGCATCTGATATTTGCTGATCTTCTATATATTGCTGATATTTGCTGATCCTGATCACAGAAATTATTCAAATTTCTGTGCAACTTTTCCCCATAAATTAAAATGATTTGAGAATAACTTGATGTAACCCCCAGCTCTTGATTCACCTTGATAAATATATCACAGTGCCTACTCTGTACCTTGTGCACTGTGCTCGATTATGGAGAATTGAGTGGTGGCCAGGACAGACCACCGCTGCTTGCCTTCCCCCCACACCCCCACCACCCCTGGGCGGATGCCGAGGCAGGAACCCAGATATCTCGGGCATCCAGCATTGTTCCTGTGAAGTTATAAGAATACCTTAGGAAAATGCCTTCTTCACCTGAAGCTTAATAAGACTAGAAATATGAGTTTCTCCTTTAAGGCTGATAAACAAACTTCTAAGAAATATAAAGCTTCCTAGCAAGAAAGAAATTTTAAAAAGGACAAGTTTCAAAGTGTACACATTTCCCTTCTCTCTCTGGATGAGAAGCCAGTGTTATAAAAAATTTTTCTCTTCATAGGTATTAGCAGAGATTCTTTGGCTTTCAGATGTTTCCAGATACTCTGAAACTTTGTTCAAATAGTGGTCTAAGAGGCAAAGATGGATGGTGGGGAATTTCATCTTTTAAAATTGTATCTGCTGTAAAAGATCAGTTATAATTGTACTAAGCTTTTTAAAAAGAGCATTGTGTTCAGTATACTTAAAATTTTTAGCTGTCTTGATGGAAATAAGACTGATTTAGGATTTGTTTTTCTTTACAGTAGACATAAAAATAGCATTGACAGTTTTTATGAATCTTAAACACATCCCAAAAACTTGTTGTTTAATTAACATCTTTTGCTTGCCTTGAAAAAATTTTAAACAGCTTTATTAAGATATAATTTAAATATCATACAGTTCATCTTTTAAAAGTGTACAATTCACTGTTTTTTTTTTTAAATTGTATTCACAGAGTTAGGTAACCATCATTGCAGTCAAGCTTTGACCATTTTTATCACCTCAAAAAGAAACTTTGTTCCCTTTAGCTATCACCACCCTTCCACCTCTGGCCCTAAGCCCATTATGTTAATCTATTAACAATCTATAGATTTGCCTATTCTGGATATTTCATATAAATGGAACAGGATTTTCTGACTTCTTTCATTTAGCATAATGTTTTAAGATATATGTACATTGTAGCATGTGTCAGTACTCCATTCCTTTTTATGGGTGAATAATAGTCTGTTGTGTGGATAGACCACATTTTGTTTATCCAGTCATCTGTTGATGGACATTTGGGTTGCTTTCAGGCCTGCCTTAAATTTAAATTATGCTTCACAGTTTGCAAAAGGCATATGAGTATATGAACTTGTGGTCCCCAGGAGACATATTGTTTTGCCTTCCCACCTGTGTGAGATTTTCCACAGGTCTCCATAAAGGTTGTGTTGGAGATGTGACCATGGCTCTGTTGATTGTCATACAAATATAAAAATAAATATCACCATAGTGTTTTTTTCCCCTATGGCATATTTCTTTTGTAGGAGTTGTTTTTTTTAACCAAGCTGGCATATTTCTTTTGAAGGACTTTTTTCCCCCTCTAGTCAGCCCCTTTATTTGTAGGTTTTTGTTTTCCCTAATTAACACATTTCTGTAAGAATGGTATGAACAGGACTTCCTTGGTGGCTCAATGGTGAAGAATTCACCTGCCAATGCCGGGGACATGAGTTGGATCCCTGGTCTGGGAAGATCCTGCATGCCGAGGAGCAGCTAGGCCCATGTGTCATAACTTCTGAGCCTGTGCTCTGAAGCCTGGGAGCTGCAACTGCTGAGCCTATGTGCTACAGCTGCTGAAGCCCACACCCCTAGAGCTTGTGCGCTGTAACAAGAGAAGTCACCGCAATGAGAAGCCGCTGCAATGAGAAGCCCACGCGCCACGACTAGAGGGTAGCCGCCACTCACTGCAACCAGAGAAAAGCCCATGTAGCAACAAAGACCCAGCACAGCCAAAAATAAATAAATGAATTAAAAAAAAATACATTTGCCTATATTGCCTATGAGAATAATTTATAGTTTTGATGGAAAGCATTTTGATGCCAATCATTCATTTTTAAAATAAATACATTTATTTAGTTTTGGCTGTGCTACATGGTTTGTGGGACCTTAGTTCCTTGACCAGGTATTGAACCTGGGCTCCTAGCAGTGGAAGCCCAGACTTCTAACCACCGAACTGCCAGGGAATTCCTGATGCTATTCATTCTTTATTTAAATTTGATTTATAGGCCAGTGATTGAAATGCTGTGGATTAAATGGAAAAACAGAAAGGTAAAGTTTTTTTTTAGTAAAAGAAGTAGGACTTCTTTTAGTCCTACTTCTTTTAGTCCTACTTAGGACGTCTAAAAGAAGAAGTATTTGAAGTAGGACCAAAGCCTAACAGTATCAATAGACTGGATTAGCTGGATTCCTAATCCAGGAATAGGTGGATTCCTAATCCAGGAATGGCTGGATTACTAAAATGATTCTAATTTTTATTTTTTAAAAATTTGTCTGTTTATTTATTTACTTTTGGTTGCACTAGGTCTTCTTTCATTGCTGCACTCAGGCTTTCTCTAGTTGCAGCAAGCTGGAGCTAACTCTTTGTTGTGGTCCACAAGCTTCTCATTGCGATGGCGTCTCTTGTTGTGGAACAAGGCTCCAGATGTGCAGGTGTCAGTAGTTGCAGCTCCCAGGCTCATAGTTGTGGCTCGCGGGCTTAGTTACTTCAAGGCATGTGGAATCTTCCTGGACCAGAGATTGAACCTGTGTCCCCTGCATTGACAGGCAGATTCTTATCCACTGTACCACCAGGGAAGTAATAATTCTCATTTTTACATTCATCAAGACCAATTCCTTGTTCTTCCTTAGTCACATGTTAGTTCCTTAAGTGTTGTGGAAATTATGAACTTGATTTTTCTTTTTTTAAACCATTTTATTGAGGTATGATTGACATACAGAAAAGCTGTACATATTTCATGTATGCACTTAATGAGTTGAACTTGAGTTTTCTAGAGTGGAGGTTATAGGAGTGAACTGATTTGGACAAATGTACTACTAATCATCATTTGCTCTGTTTATAAGAAATGTGTTCCCAGAGGATCACTCCTGCCCTGTATTCTGTATATATGTGTTGTCTTTGTCTGCAAAGGCTTTTTCTTATTAAGGGACTAATGACAGTGTGTAGGGAATTGCCCATTGCTAGTTCAAGGGTTTTTAGAAATAAGAGTTCCTGGAAATCTATCCTGAAGTCTCTACTTAAACACGGGAAGAGAGAGTAATACCAGCCCACAGTCTATTACCTAGATGGTCTAAAGCAAGTGTTGTTAAACTTTTTCTGTAAAGGGTCAGATAGTAAGTATTTTCTATTTTGGAGCCATGTGGTCTTTGATGCAACTACTCAACTCTGTTGTACTGTGAGACCGGCCATAGGCAAATATGCAAATAAGTGAGCTTGGCTGTATTCCAATGAACCTTTATTTATGGGACCTGAAATGTGAATTTCATGTAATTTTCATGCATTATGAAATATTATTTTTCTTTTGGCTTTTTTCAACCATTTGCAAATGTAAAACCCATTCTTGGTTCGAGGGCTGAACAAAGTTAGGGAAATCCTGTTCTGCCTCAGGGTTTGCCATGTCTTACAGAAACCTGATCTAAACAAAAGAAGCACAGGCTAACTGAAGCGGGAGGCCTAGGCCTCAAGGCTGCTGCCCTCCTCGGGCATGGACAGCTCCCTGCTCGTCTGCCTACGTATCCTGTTTAGTGACAAAATAAGTTCAAGAGGGCTTTCTGAAGCCATTTGGTCCAGTCTTTGTATTGATCACCTGAGGAAGTGGAGGGCCCAGAGGTGAAACAGCTCACTGTGGGTGTGTGGGGTGGAAGGCCCCAACCGCTCTTCTCATACCATTTCTAGTCTTCTACTGGAACACATGGCCCTGGCTCTACAACCCACCATTATGATCACTCTCCAAAAATGTGACTCTTTACGTATTTCAGGATTGTTAGACTTGTCAGACACTTTAGATCTGTGTATTTTATTTAAACATTTTAGATCTGTATGTTATATTTTAACTGAGGTGTAAATTACACCTCACTTAAAAAACCACACATATTTTATCTGGGAATGTCAATGGTAGGACTTGTCTGCTTATAGTGAAACATTACTTGGTTGATTAACTCATTAGATGACTTTTGAAAAGTAGGGGGATACAGTGCAGAGCAGTTAAGTGTTAAATGGGGTGCTTTGAAGAGTGAGAAACGTAGAATGAGGTGTGGCTAGAGAGGGGTCAGGCTCAGGTAAGAGGAGAGCTGGGGAGAGCACTCTCTGATATGAGAGGGTTTTAAGATTTCTGAAATAAACTTTATCATTTTGCTTGTGACTCTCAATTGAATGTGAGAGGTGGGGACATAATAAAGGACAAAGCAATTCAGACAGTGTTCAGAGCTTATTCAGGGGACAGCTGACAACTTGTTAGATAGTGTCTC